TCTGGAACACCCGGAGCAGGTGACCAGGGAGACTGTGCCAGGACCCCACAGGGCACCTACTACATAAAGGCCACCTAGCCAAGGCTAGGAGACATAGCATATCTACATAATACATAGTAACAAACACAGGGAGGGAGCCAAAATGAGGAAACAAAAAAATTACATCTCAGAAAAAACTCCAGAAAAAGAACTAAACCAAATAGAGGCAAGCAACTTACCAGAGTTAAAAACAATGGTTATGAAGATACTCAAGGGACTTAATGAGAACTTCAACAAAGAAATAGCAAGCATAAAAAAGGACATAGAAACCATAAAAAAAGTCAGAAGAATACAATAACTAAAATGAAGAATGCACTAGAAGAAAAACAGATCAAAATTAGGAATAATCAAATGGTAATAACTATACATCTATCAACAATTACTTTCAATGTAAATGGATTAAATGCTCCAATCAAAAGACATAGAAGGTTGAATGGATAAGAAAACAAAACCCTTACATATGTTGCCTACAAGATACTCACTTCAGATTGAAAGACACACACATATGAAAAGTAAAGGGATGAAAAAAGGTATTTCATGAAAATGGGAACAATAAAACAAAAAAAGCTGGAGTAGCAATACTTATACCAGACAAAACAGGTTTTAAATCAAAGGCTATAATGAGACAAAGAAGGGCCCAATAATCCCACTTCTGGGTATTTAACCAAAGAAACCCAAAGCACTACTTCGAGGGCAATTGTGCATCCATATGTAAACTGCATCATTGTTTACAGTGGCCAAGATGGGGAGGCAGCCTGGCCTCAATGAAAGAATGGATAAAGAGGGGGTAGTACATATATACAATGGAATATTGCTCAATCATGGAAGGGAATGGGTTGCCATCTGTGGCAGCATGGATGGACCTGTAGGGCGTTGTGCTGTGTGCAGTGTCAGACAAGAAAAAAAAAAGCAATGTGATTTCACTTATTGGGTTGTTGGAAAAATCATGATGCATGTTTGTGACACATGGCACTAGTTCATTTTTGGAAGTACTAGAGACATTCGCATCTAAGTTTCTGCTATGTCATTTGACAGCTGACAGTTCTAGCTACATTCTTAAAAAAATTGAGTGATTTGGTTGAGTTTTGGAGATTTTACAAGTTGAAGATGGAAGACCAAACTGTGCATTTTTGCCATATTTTACTGTTTTACTTCCATAAAGGG